CAAAGAAGATGAATCCTTGCAGTCACGAAAGCTTTAAATCGAAATTTATATCTTTCACGTCATTACCACAGCTTAATTTCATCATATTAATGCAAAGTTTACATTTGTAATACATTCCACTATCAATTGTTAACATTAAAATCATAATGTGCATAAAGAAAACAAACTAACCGGAAAAGAGTGAACTTTAAACAGTAAATAAGTAACAAAAGTAAATATCCAATAAATAAGTAACACATAACTGGTAGATAAGTACCGTAAGTAAGCGTACTGTTAGTCTTACCAGCATTCGACCTCATCATATTACAGCTACTGGACCGGTAGTTACCCCTGTACAGTTTTAGCACTGGCAGATTGCGCACTGCGCAGACAATAGCGGCACTACGGTAATGCCATTGCCTCCTGGCAACAAAGCCATTCGAAGTTTGAAACAAAGCTCATGGTCGCAACTGTATAGTGATTAGCCAATAGCAGCGGCCTAAGGGACTCAGCAATTATGATTCCGCGTCTGGTAGATGCTTGTTAAGGCCCTTCCCATTGTGCAATCCATAGCCTCAGCTGAAACTTTCACACCCCCATACAGCCACTGAAAGTATTACGGTAAACAAAGTGCGCCCACTTCAAACATTGTTGTTTCATTGTACAAACAATTCGAATCGTTTAAAACGTGATAACATGTGCAATTTTAGTGTGAGTGGTTTATTCAGCAGTGCTTTAGTCAAAGGTAAGTGTTGCATAGTGGATAGTCCTACCATGAAAACATTAAACGAGTTATGACATGTCACATGTGTAAAATATTTTTGGGATAGCCCGCACTTCCATATACCCCGCAGGGTCTTGTTTTGTTTGTAAAAAGTGGTATACCCCGTGAGTTATATGCGGGAAAATACGGTACCTTCGTCTTAGAGAAATCAATATCGCGTGAGCCCACCGCATTAAAACAATGATTAGCCACTGCCGAGGTACTACCATATTTCAGATCTGCCTTATGTTCACGAACCCGGTCTGATACATGCCGCTTAGTTTCCCCAATGTAACTACTGCCGCAGACACAGCTTAGTTTGTAGACGCCGGGGTATTGCATGTCAGGGATCACATCCTTCACAGATGGGATCAGATCACTAATTTTATGTACTGTGTTAAATCGACCCTGGATCTTGTGTTTGCTCATGATTTTTTAGATCTTTTTGGTGACCACCTTGTATGGCAAGGTGGTTGGGTTCTCAGATGGTTCTTTCAAAATCATGACCCAATCAAAACCATCACCTTGCCATACATAGCAGGGGTCACCAAAACGTCTATGTGACTTTACCGAAAGACCCAAAGAATATTAATTTCTGCACTCACGAAAGCTTTAAGTCATGAAAAACACCTGTTTTTATTGCCAGAAAGGGTGAAACCTATTCTTAATTTTTCATACTTTGATACTGGCAAAAAGGTCCCATGATATAGCTGCTCACCCCGAGCGATAGTGCATTGTCTTTGTGCTGTTTGCTTTTTGGTGTTGTTCCCTGGTGTGACACTGGTGGTGAGACTAAGCCATAAAGAAGGCTGCTGTTTGGTGTAGGCCAATCAGTTTCAAAGACAATGCATATATTATTATCAGGGCTTGTTTGTTTGCATGCTCAACACCCGTACTGTATTGTGGTTAATGCAGTACTTGATTCCTTGCAAAAGGAATCTATTCGGTGTTTGAACATCTTAACACCTCCTGTTTTATTGTCGGAAAGGGTAAAACCCATTTTTTTCTCTTTGCCAGGTGAGAGCCACCGAGCTTACGAAGCTCTCTTTTCAGAAGCGACCTGGCCACAATTGTGTAGCTCAACGAAGTGGCTTATCGCGTGGACATTTAAGGCAGCCAAATGCTCTAAACACCTATCCTTTTTGAAATGTGGAGGGGGAAAACCCGAGAGATGAGGATGATGATGAGCTGCTGCTTCCCCCATTTGTTCCTCTCATGTGCAGAAACAGTTTTTGTTTAATTTTATAAAGTAGCTTTTTGTTGACTCTTCACCCTGCTCACCTCCTAAGGGAGGAAATAAGGTGGCAAGGCACTGGAAAGTGACTTGCGGTGGTCTGCGCACATTGACCAAGGTGGCGAGGGTTGCGCAACACGGTCCGCCTCAACGGACATGTTTTGTTGGTGGACAGTCGGGGGCGGTGCAGCTGTTGCTTTGGAACAAATCGAACATTCTGTGCCTGGGGTGGGGGGGAAGATCGGCGGTTCAGATACAGTCATTCAGAAGCCCGCTTAAGCGGAAGAAGGGAACTAAAACCCTGCCCAGCGACAGTGTGCCGGTGTGTCATGGCCGTCGTCCACAATCAGCGATGACCAAATCCGCTGCTGGACGGAGGCCTCGCCCAAGACTGTCACCGACCCTGTCGCCTGCAACAAGAGTTGATTGCATCGATACTCCTTTGTGGCCGGCGCACCTCAAAGGGCACGTTCCCCTCCCTTGGCTGCCACTGTCGTTCTCCGTGACACGTTGGGCGTCGTTCCCCCTAACGATGTCCTGCACAAGCCCGCCTCACTTTTATGAACAGCAAAAGTTATCCGGTGTTACTACGTTCTCTTAATCCACGTGTTCCTATTTCCGTGCCACTCTGCGCACTTTTTTTTTTACATTTTTCCGGCTTTGCCGTCGGTGTCAAATGTATGTGATCAATGTGTGCCGTAGATTGAAATATGCAGTGATCAAAATTGGATAACAAAGCATCTTTGGAGAGTAACACATTGACGAATTAGCAACCGATCAGTCAATGAGGATCGAGTGGTTTAGAGTGAGTTGCTCTTACCAAGACCAAGCATGAACTCGGCTGACCTGATGGTTGAGACGTTTTTGGTGTTATCACGCCGTTGGGTAATAAAAGTATATAAGGCCAATGAACCACGACACCAATAGACCAAATAATATATTTTATTTTAATGTGAAGCTTCAAAAAGGTACATTGATATTTTATTCAGAATCAGAATGTTTATTTATACTGGAGGAATCCGATGTCCAGTAGGGGCACGTGGTAAGAACGTTACAACAATACCAAGTACACAAATATGATCGCAGTGCAAAGTACAAGAAAGGTAAACAAATCATCAAACCACATTCAAATAAAACTAAACCATCCTCATCCTACCAGGCAAAGCCCACGATTAACCTGTCAACTGTGCCACCTCTCAGTAGAATGTTAGTAACAGATGAATGTATCCTCACATCCCTTTGCTCTCCTGAAGCATTTTTCCATCTTTGACGTCACTGCACACCGTGATGTTATCAAGTACGTTTCTATCTTTTTACACCCTGCTGATCTTGTTTCATCTACGCGGTCGGACACTTTCTGGACGTCGTGAATAGGCCCCTGCGCACACCTCCATGAATCGAAATTTAAATGCAAACCACAGCAGCGTGACTGTGACCATGCAATCCAAACTATGGTGCCCGTATCCTTCAAAGCACTGTAGTCTGCGCTCCTTCAACAGAGGAGGAATAACAAAACCACACAAGCTCTCCCAAAGCCTTCTTCCTAGTGGCCAGCAGCAGACCTCGACATTGACGTTTAGCTCCTGAACCATGTTTGCCATACACAAGGATACAATATAACAGCATTTATTAATGAATAACACCAACGACATGCCCAGGAAAGCCACGCCGATGGCGTACACGGGTACGTCATCGGAACGAAATTGGAAGTAAATGGCCAAGCGGGAGAGCGTGCCACAGTTTGGTGCCAGCTATCGTAGAGTGCGGTCGTTTCGCTGTGGTTCTCTGTGGTGCAGACAGTAACAATGTCTTTAAAAACAGCGGGGCTACTGCACGTCTCTAAGTTAAATTAACGCTGAGCCGCTTGCGCGTGCCGAGATTCAGCGGTAAACGGGACGCCCACAGCCTGCAGCTTGGCTCCCAAGATCTGATAAGACCGGGCACATTCCTAGTGTGGCCATACATTAAGCTCGTCCACACACAGCAGTTCACGATGCCCAGAGCAGAGTTTATTCACTTCTCAACATTGTTTTCCACCGTTCTGGTAAATGATTGACTGATGTAATTTATTATATTAACAGCACCAGAGGTACCAGTCTTCTTCTTGTGTACGGCTGATGATGTTTGTCGATGCAGAGCGACCACTAGAGTTTGACATTCGGGTGGTCAAGCCAGATAACCATGTCAGGAGGAGCGGAGTGTATCATTGTGATGACCATAGACTCAACACTGCCCATAGACCCAACACTGCCCTTAGACTCAACACTGCCCATAGACCCAACACTGTCCATAGACCCAACACTGCACCATAGACTCAACACTACCCATAGACTCAACACTGCCCATAGACCCAACACTGCCCATAGACCCAACACTGCCCATAGACTCAACACTGCTAATAGACCTAACACTGCTCATAAACCCAACACTGCCCATAAACTCAACATTGCCCATAGACTCAACACTGCCCATAGACTCAACACTGCCCATAGACCCAACACTGCCCATAGACTCAACACTGCCAATAGACCCAACACTGGCCATAGACCCACCACTGCCCATGGACTCAACACTGCCCATAGACTCAACACTGCCCAGTGACCCTCGACGAGGCGAGGAGCGGCCGGTGATTTACCTCAGAAGTGCTCGTAAAGATTATCTTACCGCTTTTATTTGCAAGCGTGGTGAAACCGCAACCCCCGCATAATCTACCGACGAATAGTCTAGAGTTATCTGCATCGCTCCCTCCGGCGCATTTTTCGAGTTGTGCCAATTGCCGTTCGGCACAGTGTACCAACGTTTCGCTCCTCTTGCTGGGAGCTTTCGGTTAATTTCCCCAAAGAACCTTCCAGCAGCACGTGGGGGTGGGCGAAATTTCGAGACATTGCGCCCCCGAGCAACACGCCGCGGACACAACCCGGTGACACGTTAGAGACCTATAACGGCACAACTGTTTCTTGACGCTCACCCGATAACCCCCCCCCCTTCCCCGGGCAAAACCGCCCATTCCTGTGCCGCCAACAGCCGCTGCTGGCACAGCAGAGCCTCCCCTGGCGCGTTTGCCCATGGAGCCGAGCGTGGCCTTGGACCTGTGTGGCCACTACTCGCCAATCTCGTCGGCGACGTCTGATCATGGCATCACGACTGACGACTCCTCCCGGCTGGAGGAGGTGGTGGATGATTCTGTGGAGAGAGAGCCGCACACATGTGCTGGTGAGCCACCGTTCATTCATTCTTGTACACTGACGTCATAATGATACGTGCCGTGCCTCCCATGCAATACCCATACGATTGGTTTAGCGCATAGTAGGCTTGCACGACCAATATCATTATGCATAATAGAGGTATTTTTTTTCCGGTTAGATTGCGTAAGTATAAATGTGTCGTGAAACCCGCCACCACCCGACGCAGCCAATCAAGTAAGGGTTAAATTTGATTTAAGCTTTCGTGACTGCAGGGATTCATATTCTTGGTTCTTTCGGTAAAGTCACATAGAAGGGAAATAATAATAATAATAATACAAATAAAACAATAAAATTATCACGACGTTTCGATTGCAACACAAGCAATCATCATCAGGTGTGAAAACCCCAGCAAGAAAATTTTCTCGGACAATAAAGATCTCACAGCAGGAAAATTTTCTTGCTGTGACTTTACCGAAAGAACCAATAATAAGGGTTGTCACATAACAGAACATGGCAATTCGCTACCAGTTCAGCACACCAGTGTGTTGGGGAATAAACACATAACATTTCACGGCTGGCTACGTACGGTGCGAAAGAAGTTCAACGTATATGTCGAGGCACCCTGCGACAGTCTAGCCCAAGGGAACCCGCCCCGCCGTAACAACTGTCCCTTTGCGGCACAAAGGTGAACGCAGCCACTGGCCTGTCAACAATGGGCATGAGCCCATGCCATTATAGGGGGCGATGTCGCCATGTGGCTTTTACCAATTTAGTGATTTGCACATTATTTATGAAGTCTTGCGACTTTGAACCATTTGCTGCACGTGCCCTTCTTCGCGACAAACGCCGTCCTCTGTTGTTTCTTGTGACGTTGTGAGATCTTTATTGTCCACAGTAGGGCAGACAGTCGCCTTTCATTTTGTTTACGGCTAATGCGCCTGGCAGCAATTGACCAGGGCGGCCGCTGGGCTCAAAAAAAGCGCGGTGGTCTCCAACAAGCGGCCATTGCTCCACCACCGAGCACCGTCACCGCCCATATATCTCACTTAAGTCAATCCGCTGCTGGACGAGAGGCCTCCCCGTACAATGTGGATCACTGTCGGCGGGGGTGGGGGGGGGGGGCTACTCTGTCGTACACGTGGAGCCAGTGGCGGCGGTCAGTGCAAGCCACGATTTCAGTTTGGTGAGTGAGCGACCTTCGCACCGGGTGATGGGCGTGGATGGTGGAATGTGACCAAGTTGCCTTGAGCCAAATCACCGGAGAATTTGTACTGTACACGTACAAACCTTTGCGTTGGATCACTGATCCATTAGGGGCCTCCTTAGCATCGTGCAGATCACAAATATGTTTAACCATATTCTTGGTCCTTTCGGTAAAGTCACGTAGAAGGGAAACAATAAAATAATAAAAATATTGTTTTTTATATGTTTCCCTTCTACGTGACTTTACCGAAAGAACCAAGAATATGAATCCCTGCAGTCACGAAAGCTTTAAATCAAAATTTATGTTTAACCAGTAAACATAGGTGGCAGCAACTTTGGGGAGGCCTTGAGTTGGCTGTTGCCAGCAATTTTATCAATTCGATTATGGCTGATAATGATGATGAGCTAGGTGTGACAGGACAACCTGGAAAAAACTGTTAATTTTGGTAAAAGTGAGCGGAAGAAATGGTAAACAAAGGCTACGATGAACAGACAGTAAATTTAACCAAGTTTTCAAGTTTCAAGTTTCATTTATTAGGTATAGCCCTGTGAGCCATGCGGCTCTTGAGTCGGGTGCAACCGCAACAAACAAAATATGAACAGAGAACATTTTAAAGCGATAACGCGCAACAGAAACATCCTGGATATACCACCAAATCTTCCAGAAAAAAAACCCACCCTATTACAACGCTGTGTGCAAAAATCCCAGTGTGATGCAAGTCAAACAATAACAACCATAAAACAATTTAGATGAACGTTATCGGGCCAACTCCGCACTTCCGCAAGAAACATGGCTTAACCATATGTTTTCGAAGTCACCAAAATAAAGCTATAAAAAACAATGTAACAACAGTAAGCATAGAAACTATGATTCAAATTTAACAATAAACGATATACATAACATGTACGACCAAACTTGCAGCCATAGCTGGCAGCATGACACTCTCAGTGTATTGTGTAAGTGAGTGTATGATGTGTGAGTCAGCGTATGATGAATGAGTCAGTGTATGATGCGTGAGTGAGTCAGTGGTAGTGTGAGTGAGTGTATGATGTGTGAGTGAGTCAGCATATGATGAGTGAGTCTATGATGAGTGAATCGGTGTATGATGAGTGAATGGGTTAGTGGTTGTGTGAGTGAGTGTATGATGTGCGAGTGAGTTAGTGTAAGATGAGTGAGTGTATCACGGCACCTCCCCGCCATCACGGCCTCCTCCCCGCCATCACGGCCTCCTCCCGCCATCACGGCCTCCTCCACGCCATCACGGCCTCATTTACGCCATCACGGCCTGTTCCCCGCCATCACGGCCTCCTCGATGCCATCACGGCCTCCTCCCCGCCATCACGGCCTCCTCTCCGCCATCACGACCTCCTCCACGCCATCACGGCCTCCTCCACGCCATCACGGCCTCCACGCCATCACGGCCTCCTCCCTGCCATCACGGCCTCCTCCATGCCATTACAGCCTCCTCCCTGCCATCACGGCCTCCTCCACGCCATCACGGCCTCCTCCACTGCATCACGGCCTCCTCCCCGCCATCACGACCTCCACGCCATCACGGCCTCCTCCCCGCCATCACGGCCTCCTCCACGCCATTACAGCCTCCTCCCTGCGATCACGGCCTCCTCCACGCCATCACGGCCTCCTCCACGCCATCACGGCCTCCTCCATGTCATCACGGCCTCCTACACTCCATCACGGCCTCCTCCACGCCATCACGGCCTCCATGCCATCACGGCCTCCTCCACGCCATCACGGCCTCCTCCACGCCATCACGGCCTCCTCCATGCCATCACGACCTCCTCCCCGCCATCACGGCCTCCTCCCCGCCATCACGGCCTCCTCCACGCCATCACGGCCTCCTCCACGCCATCACGGCCTCCTCCACGCCATCACGGCCTCATCTACGCCATCACGGCCTCTTCCCCGCCATCGCGGCCTCCTCGATGCCATCACAGCCTCCTCCCCACCATCACGACCTCCTCCACGCCATCACGGCCTACTCCACGCGATCACGGCCTCCTCCACGCCACCACGGCCTCCTCCACGCCATCACGGCCTCCTCCACTCCATCAGGGCCTCCTCCCCGCCATCACGACCTCCACGCCATCACGGCCTCCTCCCTGCCATCACGGCCTCCTCCATGCCATTACGGCCTCCTCCCCGCCATCACGGCCTCCTCCACGCCATCACGGCCTCCTGCAAGCCATCACGGCCTCCTCCACGCCATCACGGCCTCCTACACTCCATCACGGCCTCCTCCACGCCATCACGGCCTCCTCCACGCCATCACGGCCTCCTCCACGCTATCACGGCCTCCTCCACGCCATCACGACCTCCTCCCCGCCATCACGGCCTCCTCCCCGCCATCATGGCCTCCTCCCCGCCATCACGGCCTCTTCCCCGCCATCGCGGCCTCCTCGATGCCATCACGGCCTCCTCCCCACCATCACGACCTCCTCCACGCCATCACGGCCTCCTCCAAGCCATCACGGCCTCCTCCACGCCATCACGGCCTCCTCCCCGCCATCACGGCCTCCTCCACGCCATTACGGCCTCCTCCCTGCCATCACGGCCTCCTCCACGCCATCACGGCCTCCTCCAAGCCATCACGGCCTCCTCCACGCCATCACGGCCTCCTACACTCCATCACGGCCTCCTCCACGCCATCACGGCCTCCTCCACGCCATCACGGCCTCCTCCACGCCATCATGGCCTCCTCCACGCCATCACGACCTCCTCCCCGCCATCACGGCCTCCTCCCCGCCATCACGGCCTCCTCCCCTCCATCACGGCCTCCTCCCCACCATCACGACCTCCTCCACGCCATCACGGCCTCCTCCAAGCCATCACGGCCTCCTCCACGCCATCACGGCCTCCTCCCCGCCATCACGGCCTCCTCCACGCCATTACGGCCTCCTCCCTGCCATCACGGCCGCCTCCACGCCATCACGGCCTCCTCCAAGCCATCACGGCCTCCTCCACGCCATCACGGCCTCCTACACTCCATCACGGCCTCCTCCACGCCATCTCGGCCTCCTCCACGCCATCACGGCCTCCTCCACGCCATCATGGCCTCCTCCACGCCATCACGACCTCCTCCCCGCCATCACGGCCTCCTCCCCGCCATCACGGCCTCCTCCCCTCCATCACGGCCTCGTCCCCGCCATCACGGCCTCCTCCACTCCATCACGGCCTCCTCCCCGCCATCACGACCTCCACGCCATCACGGCCTCCTCCCCGCCATCACGGCCTCCTCCACGCCATTACGGCCTCCTCCCTGCCATCACGGTCTCCTCCACGCCATCACGGCCTCCTCCACGCCATCACAGCCTCCTCCACGCCATCACGGCCTCCTACACTCCATAACGGCCTCCTCCCCGCCATCACGGCCTCCTCCCCGCCATCACGGCCTCCTCCCCGCCATCACGGCCTCCTCCACTCCATCACGGCCTCCTCCCCGCCATCACGTCCTCCACGCCATCACGGCCTCCTCCCCGCCATGACGGCCTCCTCCACGCCATTACGGCCTCCTCCCTGCCATCACGGCCTCCTCCACGCCATCACGGCCTCCTCCACGCCATCATGGCCTCCTCCACGCCATCACGGCCTCCTACACTCCATCACGGCCTCCCCCACGCCATCATGGCCTCCTCCACGCCATCACGGCCTCCATGCCATCACGGCCTCCTCCCCGCCATCACGGCCTCCTCCACGCCATCACGGCCTCCTCCACTCCATCACGGCCTCCTCCACGCCATCACTGCCTCATCTACGCCATCACGGCCTCTTCCCTGCCATCACGGCCTCCTCGATGCCATCACGGC